GAGCCCACGCTTGACAACAAGATAAGCCATGCAACGAGATGCCCACACATCCACAACTAGAGAGTAGCCCCTGCCTGCTGCAACTAGAGAAAAGCCTATGCAGCAACTAAGACGCAGCACAGCCAAGAACAAATAAATAAATAGATAGATAAAATTATATATTAAAAAAATGCAGCAAGCCTGTCTGAGAGTGACAAACTTAGAGAATAAAAATACTGGTTCTATTTTAGCTCCTATCAAAAAGCCATACATGTTTTAAATTTTTCAATATATTATCTTTCATAATATAAAAGGGGCTATATATATATGTCTTTTAATATGAAAGGGGCTAAAGATACCTATAAATGAAGTGTCAGCATAAACCAGTTATTTGAGTTTGACAGCAAAAGTGTAACTATGACCATAGTTCCTGTTTGCCAGTAGTTATCACCTGTTTACTAATACTAGCCCAAGTTTCATAGCCTACATGTAAGAATTCAACACCATGTTCTGTGGAATACTCTAGTAAAATGTATTGATTTTCTCCTTTCTTGGGACATTCATTATGAAAAGTTAGGGAATGGCTTCAGTTCAGTCAGTCAGTTCAGTCTCTCAGTCGTGTCCAACTCTTTGCATCCCCATGAATCGCAGCACGCCAGGCCTCCCTGTCCATCACCAAATCCCGGAGCTTACTCAAACTCATGCCCATCTAGTCGGCGATGCCATCCAGCCATCTCATCCTCTGTTGTCCCCTTCTCCTCCTGCCCCCAGTCCCTCCCAGCATCAGGGTCTTTTCCAGTGAGTCAACTCTTCACATGAGGTGGCCAAAGTATTGGAGTTTCAGCTTCAGCATCAGTCCTTCCAATGAACACCCAGGACTGATCTCCTTTAGGATGGACTGGTTGAATCTCCTTGCAGTCCAAGGGACTCTCAAGAGTCTTCTCCAACACCACAGTNCATCTGTGGTCTGCTCAGTTCTCTGTGGTGATCTAATTGGGGAGGAAATCCAAAAAAGAGTGAATATATGTATTCATATGGCTGATTCACTTTGCTATATAGTAGAAACTAATACAACATTGTAAAGCAGTTATACTCCAACAAAAATAAACTAAAAAATCTGCAGTCTAGTGGGAAGAAGAATAAAGTCTAAAATAAATGATAAACATAATAAGTAACAAACATATATTGTATACTAAAAATTGATAAAGTCTGTGCAAAAAGAAGAAAAGACTTGCAACATGGTAAAAGGAATTCCAAATGCAGGAAGAAGAGAAAGAACCATCAAATGAGATTGAGAAGACAGAATCCTGTGAGTAACGTGTAGGAGAGTGTGATGTTCTGGAAACCTCGAAAAGGAAGTGTATCAAAGCAGAGGGAGTAATCAGCAGTCAGATGCTTTTCACTGTGTGAGACCAGAGACTAAACTGTAGGAGTTAGCCTCTAGAAGGAACACTGGTGATGTGGACACGTTTCAGTAACTGGTACAGTTTAATTCCTTTTGGCCATGGAAGAGTAGTGACAGAAAAGAGTTACTGCTAAGCTGTCTTCTTTTTGTGGTCTATGCCACTGGTGCTAGTTTGATCTTTGGTGATTGTGTAACACCTAGACTGCTATTCACAGAAAACTTAGGATACTCTTGGCTTTGCTTGAATATCAGCCTGTTTAGAGTGAGCTAATGATTGTTAGAATTATACCGATAGCAACAGTAGGGAATGAAATTTCTGTTGTAAGAACCTCAAACCCAGAACTTCAGGAGCTAGTCACTTGGTAGTTAACATTATTTATATTCAGAAAAGCTCACTAAGAGAATCTGTGATGTGTGGGCATTATAATCAGCTGACTCCAGGTGGTATTCCTAGAGGTTGTTTTAGAAAGAAAGAAAATAGCTTAAAGAGGAAAAAACTTCAATCCTGATTTTAACTCCATTTGGGCCACTAAGAAAAAGAATACCAAGCCTGGTAGAGAACTTGCCTTCTTTATTTTAATTTAATGTGTTATTCTAGATTTAAAATACATATGATTAATCTGGGGGAGGGGAATGATCAGAAATTTAACGTTTACATGTTATCACCCTAGCAAGGGCCTACTTGAGTAGACAGCATCATGATATGTGGGCTGAGATGAGGCTGCCCTAGACAAGTCTGTTTTAGAGTTAACTGATGGAAACTTCCACCTTCCAGAATTTTCATTACCTTAGGAATGCTCTGCCAAGACTGCTGAAACACAGCTGTGGGTGCTTTGCCGACGCCCACGTTGCCAATGTCAGGAAGGATGTACTTTTAAACCTCTAATTTATCTAATAATGTCTTTAGTGATTTGTGTAGGTTTGGCATTGTGAGAAAAATGCTTCCTGACTTGGTTTATAGCAAGAATTCAGAGTGCAGTCTTAAAATGTGTATTGTCTTATTATGCAAGTAGAAGATACTAACAAGATAACTCAGGGAAAAGATCCGACTAAAATACTATCCTGTCCATCTAACAAAACTTATCCACCCAAATATTTGAAAATAAATGAAAATTAGATATTTTATGCTAGAATAATCTTATTTGGCTATTGGTTCATGCTTCATACCAAGATGGCAATATACAGTGCTGAAAGAGAGTCAGCTTTCATATTCAGTTCCAATCTGACTTCTTTCCTTTTCTCTAGTGGAAAAATTGGACTGGATTCATGTCAGCCTATAAAGTGGAGAAGGAATTAAAAGCCCTTGTAAATAAACATTTTTAAAGAGGTAGGAAATAGTACTCTTTTGTTTTAAGTATAAAGCTAGCCACAACTACTGAGCTTGTGCGTGGTGACTACTGAAGCCTGCACACCCTAGAGCCCGTGCTCTGCAAGAAGAGAAGCCACGGCAGTGAGAAGCGGGCGCACTGCAGCTAGAGAAAGCCTTGTGCAACAACGAAGACCCAATGCAGTGAAATATAAAGCTTCATAACCAGTTGGTAACAATATTATTTCATATGCTTATGGCATAGGCATGTCTCTTTAAGAAAACACTATATAAAATCTGAAGGATTCTGTCCTTAACTGGTAGATTCGCTGCAAGGATTGATTGCATTTGTCAAAATAAATATACATTCAGCTTTTAACAAGACACCTGGTACATAAAGGAGAGTATCCCCATGTTGCTTGCATAAAGAATATATAGAATTTATTTCCACTCTGCTTGGTGTATGTATGGAAAAACATTTGTTTGGATCTGAAGTGTGTTAATTTATACCTTTAAATTGCCTTTGTTTTATCTTTGAAATTCAAAACCTTATTGGAATAGAATTATAGAATTAGAATTTTAAACCTGGAAGAGACTTCACAGTCATTTTATTTCAGTTTCTTCATTTTTCTATTGAGGAACTAAAATCCAGAGGATTTAAGCATCTTTTCTCGGGTTACCCAGCTAGAACTAGAACCAAGGTTTCTGACTCCTCATATTTCTGCTAAAACCTCTCTCCAACAAGTGAAAGTGAAAGTTGCTCAGTTGTGTCTGACTCTTTGCGACCCCATGGACTATACAGTCCTTGGAATTCTCCAGGCCAGAATACTGAGTGAATGGCAATTAAAGGATAAAGTGGCAGAAATTTTAGGTCTTGCTTGTGTGCAACTGTTTATGTCCAGGCTTCAAAGTCAGTAGTCATCCCTAATTATTCTTCGTCTTTTAAAAATATTCCTGCAAGCACTTTAGGTGAAAGGAGTGCTCTGGATTCTTCTGTGACTTGGTCCTGTGATGAAATCTAAGGAAATCCTTGCTCATCTAGAGCGTAAGAAATGAGCGTGCTCAGAACAGACGTCTTGCTTCTCTGCGCTCCGCTGATTAGATAGTGATGTGAGCAGTTCCCGTAACGAGCGTCTTGCTTCGCAGGTGGTCAGCGGTACAGAGTCTGCCTACCAATACAGGAGACACAGGAGACGCAGGTTTGATCCCCTGCAGAAGGAAATGGCGTCCCACTTCAGTGTTCTTGCCTGAAAATCCCGTGGACAGAGGAGGCTGGTGGGCTATAATCCATAGGGTCACAAAGAGTCAGACATGACTGAACTACTGAGCATGTGCACCCATGATGATTATCTTAGTCTATTTGGGCTGCTTTAACAAATGACTGTAGAATGGAAGACTTATAAGCAACAAAAACTTATTTCTTACATTTCTGGAGGCTGGGAAATTCAAGATCAAAGCATGGGCAGATTCAGTGTCTAGTGAGGGCATGCTTTCTGGCGTATGGATAACTGTATTTTCCTTGTGTCCTCACCTGGTGGAAGGGGCAAGGGAGCTCTCTGGGATTTCTTTTTCATAAGGGCACTAATCTTATTCACAAGGAATCTATCCTCATTGCTTAATTACCTCCCAAAGGTTCCACCTCCAAATACCATTTCTTTGGGAATTAGAATTTCAGCGTATGAATTTAGGGTGGGGAGACAAACTTTTAGTCCATAACAATACTTAACATCGGCCTTATCCTTAAATACTGCTCCCAGGTATTCTGTATAGTTTTTTAAAAGACCAATTTGGGGAAAGGCTAAAACAGAAAAAGAGACTCAGATGTATAGAACAGACTTGTGGACTCTGGGAGAAGGCGAGGGTGGGATGTTTCAAGAGAACAGCATTGAAACATGTATATTATCTAGGGTGAAACAGATNATCGAACCCAAGTCTCCCGCATTGCAGGCAGATTCTTTACCAGCTGAGCCACAAGGGAAGCCCAAGAATACTGGAGAGGGTAGCCTATCCCTTCTCCAGCGGATCTTCTCAACCCAGGAGTGGAACTGGTGTCTCCTGAATTGCAGGCGGATTCTTTACCAACTGAGCTATTTAAAGCAAGACACCATGCTTTGCTTACAGAGTTCAGTTTATGAAACTTAATAGAGCTGGATTTCTGCTTCACAATATATAATGTTGAAAAAGTCAGTATACACCAAAATCCAAATATGCATTCATGTATTAATTGACAGATAACTTCAATGAAGTGAAACTTTTTCCTTCTTTTTCTTTTTTTTGCCAATCCACATGATCTGCAGATCCTAGTTCCCTGACCAGGGATTGAAACCAGGCCCTCAGCTTTGCCCTTAACAGTGAGAGCAAGAGGTCCCCTGGACCTCTAGGGAATTCCCATGAATTGGAATTAGGTATGTGATTAAGCTTAAAAATTAATCAGACCCCTAATTAATGATATTTCAACATTGTTCAAAAAGTGATTATGCATATATCTTGTATATGATTTAGACATAAAATAGAAAGGATTTTATTTTTATCTATGAATATATAAAGTTTGTACTATGATTCTCAGAACAAGAAAGTAGCATTGAAATGTAGGAAAACATACTTCCTTTGTTTGCAGGATGTGAATTGATTGAGATAGAAATGGTAAGCACTTCAGAAATATCTGTTAATATAAGTAGATAGCAAAAGAGAGAACTTCCCTGGTGGTCCAGTGGTTAAGAATCCACTTTGCGATGCAAGGGACGCAGGTTCAATCCCTGGTGGAAAACTCAGAGCCCACATGCTATGGAGCAGCTAAGCCCATGCGCCACAACTGGAATCCATATACCACAGTCACAGATCCCGCAAGCTGCAACCAAGACCCGATACACTCAAATTAATTAATTAATTTTTAAAATAGCAAAAGAGTGTTCTTTGACTGGATCTGAAGGGCCTTAAGATTAATTTGATTTTAAAAGAGCCAGTCCCCCAAAATGACACACACTGCAAAAGTTAAAAATTTTCTAACCATACTCTTCTTCAGCAGTGTTCTCAACATAATAACATTTGAAACCCCAGTTCCCCAGATTGCCTTGATTATTGGCCTTCCTCTATTATTTGCCATATAATACATTTGCCAAACATTAAAATTCTAAAGCCTTCTGTGTTGGGTTCTTTCAAATATTATATGAAGAAACGATGAAATAAGTTGGTTTGCTATGTTATTATCATATTAGTTGCTCTTGGTAGTTCTCTTAAAGATGACAGGCTTTAATGATAAGCTTTTATTTGAGTTGATCAAATTTTCTCTGATGTGACTATGTTTTAAAATATATTTGCAATTCTGATTTTTCAGAAATAATCACCTTCATTTCAGAATCAAAACCATAAGAACTTATTCATGCTAAGTGTTACAGCTTTTTGACATGTCAGAATAGCTGATGTGGGTGAGGTGTCTAGCTTGATGTTTTATATCTAGGTATTAGTCAGCTAATCTTCTTCCCTCCTTCACTGAAAATATTTTCATTCTGTCTGACAAAAAGTAAAAAATTGCATTAACTGTGTCTAAAAATATATTGCAGGTGACACATAAATGAGACTAATGGTTCTTGCCTTATTCTGTGAAGTTTTCACATTCTTACCTTTAGTGAACCAAGATCCAGATAGTTTAATAACTTAAAAAAAAAGATATCCTTTTGGGGTGAAATGATTGCAATCAAGGAAATGATTGCAATCAAGATTTTCATATTTTTTAAAACATAAATTTTAAAATAACCAAGGGACCAAGTAAGTGTTATAAATATCTAAAAGTCCACTTAGGCAAAATATCTAAATGTGTCCAGTTAATCAAACTAAAGCATGATGAAAGGTAAAGACAAGCAATGCCAACAAAGAGTTTAGATCTGTGAAGGAAGATTTTGACTCATCAAGAAAAATCAGATAAGCATGAAAGGATAATTGGTAATACTGTTTATATAGCATGTGTGTTTCAGGGAAAGTCATCAATTTATTTCATAATTGTTAAAATGCACTTCAGTTCAGTCGCTCAGTCGTGTGCGACTCTTTGCAACCCCGTGAACTGCAGCACGTCTGGCCTCCCTGTCCATCACCAGCTCCCGGAGTCCACCCAAACCCATCTCCATTGAGTCAGTGATGCCATCCAACCATCTCATCCTCTGCTGTCCCCTTCTCCTCCTGCCCTCAATCTTTCCCAGCATCAGGGTCTTTTCAAATGAGTCAGCTCTTCGCATCAGGTGGCCAAAGTATTGGAGTTTCAGCTTCAGCATCAGTCCTTCCAATGAATATTCAGGACTGATTTCCTTCAGGATGGACTGGTTGGATCTCNCATTTTGTGCTGGTTTAGCTTCCCTGAACTCATAGAATAAAATTTAATTTTTAAAACCTGACCTGTTTCTATGATTTCTTTCATCCCACTTGCTTAGTTACAGGCTGTCTTCCAAAAATGCACCCTGGGGCTGGATTCCATGGGGGCAACCTGCATAATTAGGAAGTATAGTCATTTCAGGGCCTCCCAGGTGATGCTAGTGGTAAAGAACCCACCTGCCAACGCAGGAGACTCAAGAGACTTGGGTTCGATCCCTGAGTCGGGAAGACCCCCTGGAGGAGGGCATGGCCACCTACTCCAGTATTCTTGCCTGGAGAATCCCCCGGACAGAGGAACCTAGCGGGCTACAGTCCACGGGGTCGCACAGACTTGGACACGACTGAAGTGACTTAGCACGTACATGCACACATAGTCAAATAATCAAATAGCAATATTTAAAGCATGCTATTTATGTGAGATAAGAATTGCAACTTATACAAACTGCTCAATACAGTAAAAAAAAACAAAAAAACAAAAAGCACTTTAAATGTTTCTGGATCTATCTTCCAAGGCATACCAATGGATTTATCACACTGTACCCGGATTTTGGTCTGTACCTTTCAGCCTCTTTACTTGGGGTGATCATGGACACTTATCCAGGAGGTCAGTGATGCTCATGTAGGGTCAGCTGTTGAACTTGCTGCTGCCTCAGCCATGAGCCACGGCTTTCCTCCTCAGGTTACACCCATGTTTCAGGGTTCTCCAGATTTGATTCTGTTGCATCACTAGGGTGTGTCCAACCATTTGGACCCCATGGACTGCAGCACACCAAGGCTTCCCATGTCCTTCACCGTCTCCCGGCGGTTGCTCAAACCCATGTGCATCGAGTCGATGGTGCCATCCAACCGTCTCATCCTCTGTTGCCTCCTTCTCCTCCTGCCCTCAATCTTTCCCAGCAGCAGGGTCTTTTCCAATTGCATCAGGTGGCCAAGGTATTGGAGATTCAGCTTCAGCATCAGTCCTTCTGGTGAATATTCAGGGTTGATTTCCTTTAGGATTGACTGGTTTGATCTCCTTGCTGTGCTAGGGACTCTCAAAGAGTCTTCTCCAGCACCACAACATGTTAGAAAAGAAAATCCTGAAGCCCTGCTCCAGGCCTACTGAGTCAGAAACTGAGGATTGTGCCCCAAAATCTGTATTTTAACAAGCCACGGAGGTGATTCTGATCCATGTAACAGTTTGAGAACTACCGATCTAGCTTCATACTTCATTGGGAAACCATTCTCTAGAATGTAAACTCCACAGATAGGGAGTTTTGTCTTTTTTGGTCATGTATATCCTGAGCACGAACAGTGCCTTCCACACTGTAAGCCGCAATAAGTTATGGTGGAATCAAACCATTAGATGGGAATTCTGTTATTTTCCTACTAAGAAATCTGGAAACCTACCTGCCTCTGTATCCGTTTTCTGCTTTCCTTTTCCAACTAAGGAAATGTGCCACATCCTGTCAGGTCAGGGTTTCCATGTCCGATTGCACCTCATCCATTCTCGCCTTCTCGAGAACTTTGCTCCTTTGGTCACACCCTCTCTCCCACAGTATCTCAGTCTTTCGTTTTGGATGACTTCATTTAGTATGTGGTCAGATTCCACAGCATTCTAAAGCAGCAGACTTCCTCAGGCCCAGGTCCCCTTTAAGTTACCACACCACTCTGTCCATTGTCACACCTCCTTGCCCCTCCTTTACTAACCCATTCTAATCTGATTTTCACTTCCACTATTCAGTGGTTCTTAACAAAGTCAGTGATTTTTCCAACTGTCTTTACTGAGATGTAACTCACATACCATGAAAGTTACTCATTTAAAGTATACTATTCAGTGGTTTTAGTATATTCAGAATGGTTTAACCATCACTATAACCTGAGATTTTGAATATTAAGACTGTATTTATGTATTAGGATAAATATTTTTTCAGTTGCTCTGAACCACAGATTAGAGTGATGGTGAAACCATTCTCAATATACTGAAACCACTGTTTGGCTGCGTTGAGTCGATCTTAGCTGCGGTCGCCGGGTCTCCAGTGCCCTCGGGCTCCAAAGTTGCAACGCACAGACTTAACTGCACTGCAGCATGTGGTATCGTCGTTCCCTGGCCCGGGATTGAATCTTAGTTCTCTGCATTGGAAGGCTACGATTCTTAACCAGGGAAGTCCCTGGAACATTTTTATCACCCCCAAAAGAAGCCCCCTCCCCATTAGCAGTGGTTCCCTTCTCACTTCATTCCTCAGCCCTAGCCTACCACTACTCTACTATTTCCATAGATTCGTCAATTCTGAACTTTTCATATAATGGAATATTACAGTATGTGGTTTTTTGTGACCAGGTTCTGTCATTTCCTGTAATGTTTTCAAGTTTCATCTACGTTGTATTAATACTATGCATATATTAATACTTCATTCTTTTCCGGCTGATGAATATACTACCTATTTTATTTATCCATAATCAGTTGATGAACATTTGGTTGTTTATGCTTTTTGGCTATTATGAATAATACTGTTATGAGCATTCATGTACAAGTTTTTGTGTGGATGTGTATTTTCATTTCTTTTGAGGTTTTTTTTGGGGGGGGGGTAATGTTTATTTATTTATTTGGCTGCACTGGTGGGTCTTAGTTGCAGCACATGGGATCTCTGTTCTTTGTTATGGTGTGCAGAATCTTTAGCATGGCATGTGAGATCTAGTTCCCTAACCAGGTATCAAACCCGGGCCCCCTGCACTGGGAGCATGGAATCTCAGCCACTGGACCACCAGGGAAAGCCTTATTTTCATTCCTTTTGGATATATACCTATGAGTGGAATTGCTGGTCCATTTAGTAACTTTATGTTTAACATTTTAAGGACTGCCAAAAGCACCTGCATCATGTTACATTCCTACCAGAAATACATGAGAGTTCCCGATTTTTCCACATAGTTGTCAATCCTTGTTTAATTACCTGCCTTTTTAATGATAGTCATCATGTGGGTTTGAAATGGTATCTCATTGTGGTTATTTTTCTGTGTTTATTAACCTTTAGTGATAGGTTTTATTTTTAAGCTTTTTATTTTGGATTGGGGTATAGCTGATTAATAATGTTGTGGTAGTTTCAGATGAACAGTGAAGGGACTCAGTCATACATATACATGTATCCATTCTCCCCCAAGCCCCCCTCCCATCCAGGCTGGCACATAACATTGAGCAGGTTTTTGTTGGTTCTCCATTTTAATAGAGCGGTGTGTACATGACCTTTTCAAAGTCCCTAACTATCCCTTCCCCTCGGCAACCGTAAGTTTGTTTTCTAAGTCGGTAAGTCTCTTTCTGCTTTGTAAGTAAGTTCATTTGTATGTTTTCTTTTCAGATTCCACCTATAAGGGATGTCATATGATATTTCTCCTTCTCTGATTCACTTCACCTCAGTATGGCACTTTCTAGGTCTATCCATGTTGCTACAAATGGCATTATTTCATTCTTTTTAATGGCTGAGTAATATTCTATTGTACCACATCTTCATCCATTCCTCTGTTGAGGGACATTAAGGTTGCTTCTGTATCTTGGCTATGTAAACAGTATTGCAGTGAACCCAGTGTTCACTGTGGTTTTGATTAGCATTTCCCTAACAACTGATGAGGTTGAGCATCTTTTCATGTGTTTATTGTCCATTTGTGTATCTTCTTTGAGGAGAAATACTGTTCAGGTCCTTTGCCTGTTTTAAAATAGCATTGTCTTTTTTATTATTAAGTTAGAAGAGTTCTTTATATATTTTGAATGCCAGCTCCTCTTCAGATACGTGATTCACAAATATTTCTACTGTTGTGTGAGTTGTTGTTTCACTTTCTTGATTTGTGGCATGAGAGTTTTAAATTTTGATACAGTTCAATTTAACTCATTTTTTCCTTTTGTTGCTTGTAATTTTGGTGTCATATTTAGGGAAGCCATTGCCTGATCCAGAGTTATGAAATTTTACTCCTATGCTTTCTTTTTTTTTTAAATAATTTTATTTATTTCCAGTTGCACTGCTGTGCACGGGCTTTCTCTATTGTGGTGAGTGGGGGCCACTCTCCAGTTGTGGTGCCCGGGCCTCCCATTGTTGTGGCTGCTCTTGTTGCTGAGGTCAGGCTCTGAAGTGCGGGCTCAGTAGTTGTGGCACCCAGTTTTCGTTGCTCCGAGGCATGTGGAATCTTCCCCGACCAGGAATTGAACCTGTGTCCCCTGCATTGGCAAGCAGGCTCTTTTCCATTGTGCTACCAGGGAAGTCCCCTATGCTTTCTTTTAAGATTTTAATAATTTAACTCTTACATTTAGGTCTGTGATCCATTTTGAGTAGATTTTTGTATATGGTGTAAGGAAAGAGGCTAAACTGATTATTTGGTGTGTGAATATCACAATTGTTCCAGCACCATTTGTAGAAAAGACTATTTTTTCCCCATTGAATTATCTTGGCACCCAGTCAGTGATGATCTATTTACATGTTATTAAATTCAGTATCTAATTTTCCCTTATCAGACTTCTCAGTAGAATGCAATTGACCCTGACTTCACTCAAATATTCTACTCCTTTGGTTTGCCTTTTACTTATCTTGCTATTTCTTTTCAGTGTTTATAGGTTTCTTATCTTCCGCTAAGCTTCTAAATGTTGGGTTTTCAGTTATTATCGCTGTGTAACAAATTAGCACAGAAATTAGTGTCAGGAAACAGTCGTTAATTATACTCATAGTTTCTTTGAGCATTAAGACTGGACAAAGCAGGCTCAGCTTTCTCTGTTCCATAATATCTGGGGCCTCAGCTGGAAGATTCAGGCTGGTACTGGTATCTTCTGAAGGTCTGTGCTGTTACCGTGTCAAGCAATTGATAATAACAGCTCTTGACTGGAAGCCTCAGCTAACACCCACATGAACCTGTGTCCCAGGGGGAAGGGAAGGAGGAGGGGGGGGGAGGAAAAGGAGAAAGTGAAGGAAGAGAGACGAGAAGGCCAGGGGAAAGTCATGTAGCCTTTTATGACCAAACCTCAGGAGCCACACAGCATCACTTTTGCCACTTCTTTTTTCATTAAAGGCTCATTCACTTTCATGTATAATGGTAAGATTCTTAAAGAGCTCGTAGCACCAGAAATATTGCTCTGATCTTTTTTAGGAAAACAATTTGCCACAGTCTGTTCTGGCCACACAGTTTGTATCCCTCCCACATGCAAAAAACCTTCACCCCTCCCCTCAGAGTCTCCCAAAATTTCATCCCTTAATGGCATCAGACTCAGGCTTGAGGTTCAGGATCTCAGTGAAGTCAGGTCCAGATGAGACTCCTTGGGTATCATTTCTTGATGACAGCTCCCTGAATATACTTCCATTTGATTTTGACACCTAGGGACTATAGAGGCATATTATCTACCCCCTTCCCTGCCACTACCCAACATACAGGGGGTATATTGAGGAGGTACTTAACTATTTCCAAAGGGGGAAAACAGTGGCACATGGAAGTCACTGGTCCATAGCAGTTCTCTTTTTTTGTTTTCTCTATGTGATCTATTCTATTTCCATAGTTTAAATTTTTTTTTTTTTTTTAGCTACACTGCACAACTTGTGAGATCTTTAGTTCCCCACCCAGGAAAGGAACCTCTGCCCCCTGCAGTGGTAGTGCGGAGTCCTAACTATTGGACCACCAGGGAATTTCCCTTTATTTCTGTACTTTTAAATACCATCCATACATTCATGACTTCCAAATTTCCTTACATCTCTTAGCTCCACACTAAAATATATAATTAACCATTTGACACCTTCACTAGGATATTGCAGAGATTTTTTCCAACTTAACATGGCTAAAATGAATTCTCATTTTCTACTTTACCCTTTTCCTCCACAAATCTGTCTTTTCTTGTTTTCTCCATCTAGGTGAATGTTGCCGCCATTCATGTCTGCATACAATAATAATCAAATTCTATATTTTCTTTCTCTAAAACGTAATCACTTTTAAAAAGTCTCATCTGGATTACAGCAGTCTCATTGATCGCTCTCCTTCACTCCTGCTCCCTGCCAGTTCCCTTTGACACAGCAGTCAGCGTATTATTTTATTTACTCTATCTGATTATGATCCTCTCTTGCTTATAATCATCAGTGACTTCCCCCTGCACTTTTGAGTAAAATCCAAATTCCTTACCATCCAAGAAAGAGATCCATATAACTGGCCTGTTCCCGCTCCTCTGACCTCATTCCTCACTGCTCTCCCTGTTACCTGCTGCACTTCATCTTCCTGGACTTCTTCCAGTTCCTCAGACATACCTTGCTCTCAGAAAGGGTCTGAACACATGCTATTTTCTCTGCCTGGAATACTGTCCCCAAATCCCAACCCCATATAACTGAGTCTTTCTTGTCCTTTAAGGTAAGGCATTCCTGACTATTCTAAGTAGGTACTTCTCTTTAATGCCCTCTATCCTATTTGTTTCCCTTATAAAAGTTATCCCAACTTTTGTTTACTTATTCATCATCTGTCTCCCTAACCAGATTGTAAGCCCCAAAAGTCAGGGGCCATGTCTGTGTTAATTCACCACTGTATAACCCAGTGGCTTTGCAAAGTGCGTAGCATATGATATCCTCTCAAGAAATGTGCATCGACTGTTGTTTAAAGGTATAATTTTGTTTTGAAACAATATGTTAATAATAAAGTAATTAGTAATAATTTTAAATGGGATGTTTCTAATTCTTGCTGAATAACCATTTATTGTTTTCTTTCAGTAACTGCCCTTCCTTTTTGGCTGCCGCTTTAGCCAGAGCCACATCAGACGAAGTCCTTCAGAGTGATCTTTCTGCACATTATATTCCAAAGGAAACAGATGGCACAGAAGGGACTGTAGGCAAGTACCTTTCTACAGTATTTGTTTTAAAATATTAAAATTTTCTGTTGAATGATCCATAGAAATTATCTACAGAATACTATATCTAATTATGTTTACCCACTGGTTGATATTTTATAGTGGTAGCAAGAGAAAAATTTCAGAAACATGTTTTTTTCAAACCAATCAGTAAAAGTAGAAGGGGAAAATACAGGCATATTTTGAAGCCATGTGCAGTTACCTGGAACAGGAGATTATGATAACAATGTGTTATCATAAATATCTAGGTAAATGAAGAGGAGGGAGAAATGTGAAGACACAACAAAAAAGATGAATAAGTGAAGGGAAGGGGTGGTTTGAGAAAAATCTATTTTAAAGTTTTAATTCATCTTTAAGAGGTCAAGTAAAAAAAAATCAGATATACAAATTCAGGAGATTGGTCGTTACAAAACTTCTCATTAATCATATTAAATTTTATGTCTGCCGGGCTTCCCTGGTGGCTTCAAAAACCAGAGAAGCCAGCCCAGCGAGAAGCCCGTGCACTGCAACTAGAGAGTAGCCCCTGCTCGCCACAGCTAGAAAAAAGCCGGTGGAGCACGGCGGGCCCAGCAGAGCCAAAGATTAAATAAATAAATAAATAAAATTAGTCACAATTTTTTTACATCTACCAATAAATAAAGAGCTCTTTATGACAATTATGTGGTTTAATTGCATGGGCATCTTTTTCAGTTAAATTATGAGAATGCCTATTAATGAAGGCATGTTTATTAATGTATTAGGCTCATACATATTTAACACATTAAAAAATAACCCTTTTTTGTAAAAACTAGGGAATGAGGAATTGTTGAGGAATTTTAATGTTTCATTCAGTTTGTCCCGTTTTAAGCATTTGCCTTTAAACATGGGACAGAGGGAGCAAAACATATATTAATGAATTAGGGCAGCTAGATTCCAGAGAATGTGAGGCAGATATAAAAATAAACATTCCTGTTCTTCCTTCATCTCTCTAGAGAATTTTTGATAGAAAGCTGGCAAGGAAGGAATTCCTCTTGTTTTTACTGAGAGTAATTGATTCACTTGGAACCAAATTGTTCCAGAGTCAAGCTGGATGGAATTCCTGCTGAAAAACATTGGTCTTTCCTCTCGTACTGATGCGTGAAGTAGAAGCCCTGTAATGAAAAGATGAGGGAGATTAAATTCTGCTTCACTGCAGCCGGGGTGATGACTGACTCAGCTCCAGCTCAGTACACTGACATTAACGACTGATGAGTAATTTACAGCTGTGAGGGGGTGGACTGCTACTTTGGACCATTTTCCCTTTTTTGGACCCTTATTTATTTGATTTTATTTTTCCATTTCAAGCAGCAATTATTTATATACTGATGTTCTTACACCACTTCCTGTAGAAGGAGAATACTTAAGATTGAAGTGTTGCCCTATGTGCCTAGCTTGGAAGAATTTTCTGAACCCCTGTAAGGTAGCAAATGTGAAAGGCAGGGATTTTCTTGCGGTGGATATCATTAGTCATCCTGATGTTATATTTTTCCAAGAGATTACCCAGTAATGTCTCCATGCCACTGCTGTGATTCAGAATGATCTGTTATAGTTCCAAACTATTTGCATGTCCTTAATCTGTTTAACCCAAATCACTGAGTGGAGAATCTCTACAGGGCATATTGCGTTTGCCCATACCGCAGAGTGGGGATGAACATACTGAGTAATGCTTGCTGTCGTTGCCTTAAAGGCACGGAAGTCCCAGCTGAAATGCCCTGTGACTCTCGTCTTAGGTATTTCCAAAAACAGACTTCAAGAAACTTTACCTTAAAGTTCTTTTTATGTTTATGCCATCCCTAACAGAATGTTTCTTAAACAACCTTGCATTTCTGTTGACAGATACAACTCCTGTCCAGACTATCTAAAATCAATGCAAAATATCCTAATGTAAAAATTAAAAGTAAGGTGAAAATGATCACTAATACAGGTGATATTAAAAGAATTATGAAAATTTTTATATAAATTTGAAAACCTGGGTATGTTCTAGAAATATACAAATTAATACAACTTTATCTAAGCAGAAAGAGATTGAGAAGATTGGCAAAAAGGACAAAAAGAATAGGTGATTCTATAGGTGAATGTTTTCAAACAATCAAAGACAGTAATTCCATTGCTTTTTAAAATGAATTATCCAGTTATATGGGGAAAGAGGAAAATTTGCATAGCATAACACTGATACTTAAACTTGGCTGAGACAGAACCAAGAAATAAGAGATGAGTCAATAATCAATGTGAAAAATCTTAAGTGAAATATTTGTATACTTAGTATGACAATTTGATGAGTATTTTATTGAGGGCCTACTATAGCTTAGCACTATGTTACTTAGGAAACAGCCGGGGGGGAAAATATTGGGGCATTGATTAGCATAATTTTTATATTAATAGCTCAAAAGAAAAAAAACAGAATAATCTCTGAGGATGCCCAAAGAAGCATTTGATAAAATTTAATATTTATTTCTAATTTTTAAAATATACTTAATAGAATAGCACCGGACATTGTAGGGCAAAATTTGGCTTAAACCAAAAACCTAGTATGCATGTTTAGAGTATATCCTCAAGAATTTTTTAGTTGCAAGTAACCACTGGCTTCAGCAAAACAATTTATTGGCTATCCTTCAAGATAAGGGCTACACAGCTAGATTCAAGGCTTCACATGATGTCATAAAGACCTGGCATTTCTCCAACTCTCAGCTGTACTCTCTCCTTTGGATTTTATTTTCAGGCTCCATGGGATGGCAAAATGACTGCTAGGAACATCAGATCTTCATCTGCCCAGGTTCAAATCAAGCAGGAAAATAAGAGTAACTACTCAGTTGCTCTTACATAAGTCACAGGATTCACTCTAATCAGTCCATCTTGGTTTATTTACCTTTGCTGAACCAATAACTATGGCCAGAGGAATGTGGTCTCTAACTGGTTAGACCTGAATCATATTTTACCCCTTGACGTACATGGACTGAGAGTAGAGAAGAAAGTATTGATAGAAAGAGGAATGTTTGCTAGGTGCCAAATAACACATTAAAACAAAGTTCTGGCTCAAAGTAGCAAATAAAGTAAAATAACTAGGAAAATTTCAGTAAGAAATAGGACATATGTTAAAACTCTATTGAGCAAGATGAAATGGATTTCAATTAATGAAACAGTATAACTTGTTCCTGAATAAGACTTAATATGAAAAAGAAGTCAATTTTTTCCATATAACTCTGTAAATTCAGTGTGATCCCAAACATAATGGCAACATATTTCCCCCACAAACTTGGCAAAATAAGTAGTTCATCTGGAAGAATAAACATGTTGAACTATGTAGGTGACATCTTTAAAGTTAATAATAATAGAAAAGTCAGTCCTCCTTATATTAAAGCATGTTTTAGAGTTACAGTAATTTTTAAAGAATGGCATCATTGCAGAAACAGTTGGAGAGATCAAGGAAGCAGAATTAACAACCAGGAAGCATACAAATACTTTATTAGTGGTTATTTAATTTTATGTTTGCTTATTCATTTATTTGATCAACATCCTTAGAGCTTCTGCTATCTGCTAGGTATTATACTATGACTAATCAAGGACAGTAAAAATACAGTGTCCATGTGCAGTCTAACTTGGGAAAAGTGGAGCATGGTGTAAGTCAGATAGACCCGGGATTGAGCGTGGTATTGCCTGTTTGTGAAATGGTCCAGAGACACAGAATGTAGCAGATACTCAGTAAATGTGATCTTTTGCTTAAAAGTGTGATCAGAGTTGTAGTAGCTGGTGTGAACAAAGACAGATCTAGCAGGTTACTAAATAATAGAGGAAGCTGGTATTGTTTCCCTTGACCAGTTTAATCTGTCTACACCGGGGCTGTGCAGTAGACATGATGGAAATGTTCTCTATCTGCACGTTGTCCAGTGTGGTAGCCACTGGCCATATATAGTTGCTGAGTACTTGAAATATAGCTAATGTGACCAAAAACTGAGTTTTAAATTTTATGTAATGTTAATTAAAGTTAACTAGCTACATGTAGCTAATAAGCTACTCTGTTGGACAGTAGAGGTCTGTATAGTAAGATTTTTTGTTTTTTTTTTGAAGTCGCTCAGTCGTGTCTGACTCTTTGTGACCCCATGGACTGTAACCTACCAGGATCTCAGTCAATTGAATTTTCCAGGCAAGAATACTGGAGTGGGTTGCCATTTCCTTCTCCAGGGGATCTTCCCGACCCAGGGATCGAACCCAGGTCTCCCACATTGTAGGCAGACGCTTTACTGTCTGAGCTACCAGGGAAACCCATATAGTGAGATAAGAAATAATAAACCAAAATATGATATGTTTTATATTATTATCTGAGAATCTGGAAACTATCCTGATAATTAATATCAGTCATTTGTTTCACCTCACCCCATGCTACCTGAAAGTTTCTGAACTCACTTATTATTTTGCAGTCTTCCCCTGTGTTTGAGTCAAATGCATACCCAAATAAACAGTCTGGATTTGGGGCAATATATTGTTGCAGAGACCAGATGGGTTGAAAGTGATAGAAATAGGTAATTGCTGGCTGAAAGAGACAGTCTCTGGCAACTGGTGCTTTAAACAAACAAGAAGATTGGAGTTGCTAAAAATAATCAAAATGTTAGGTTGTCTGCTGGCCTCAGTTTTTCCCTTATACACACCTCTTTTGCTCTTTGAACTTTTTTTCTCTTCCAAATGTACCCTTGATTTTCAGTTAGATAAAAATGGCAAAGGAAACAAAGTCACATACATGGTATGCCACCCTGTACTATGTCAATGAGAAAAATAAAAGCAACAAAAACCTTGAGACCAGCTTTCTGAATATAGTCATTTAAAAAAGAATTTTGAATAAGAAAACAGGTAAAGTTACAGATTAAGGCAGCAGCAGGGTGGAGAATGGAAAAAAAAAAAAATGGAAATCTCAGTTCCCAGGCCATTCTAGAACACACAGTCTCTCTTTGAGATTTGTGCTCTAGATCCGAAGAGGCGTGTGCAACCATTGCCCATCTGGTACACATCTTCTCAGCCTGTCAAGCTGTATCTGACTTAGTAAAGTGAAAAACAGTTTTTTGAGAATTCTAAATTACTAGTGGCTCAGACAGTAAAGAATCTGCCTGCAATACAGGAGACGCAGGTTCAGACCCCTGGGTTGGGAAGGTCCCCTGGAGAAGGGAATGGCAACATCCTCCAGTATTCTTGCCTGGAGAATCCCATGGACAGAGGAGTCTGGCAGACTACAGTCCATGGGGTTGCAAAGAATTGGACACAACAGAGTGACTTTCACTTCACTTCACTGGGATATAGGGGGAACTTCTAAAATATTGGCCTGGGAAAACCTAATCTTCCCTTGGTTATTTCAACTGCTGCAACTTGGGTAGAGGACAGCTTGAGTGGAGATGATGTGAGATACAGTCTCCTGAGTACTCGTCAGTGTTGCTTGAGAGCTTACACATCTGTCCGTCCACTGAGGGACGCAGGGAGACTCAGAAGTGAGCTAGTCCACTCCACAGAATGGGCCAAGTAGGAGACTCAGTAGTCTGCAGTGAAGACTCCTCAGTCTAGGGTTACACACAAAGACAGAATGTAAAGTACATTTTCCTTAGAGAAATATCAAACTTTTAAGATTCATTTGTTAACCTTTTGGTTAAACTATATAAGCTGTTGTCCAAAACTTTAATTAAAAAATACATCAAATAAAAAATGTATAACTCAACTCTGAATTATGATCAGTTACGGGAGAGAAAGGAAACTGGAGTAAAATAAAGGAAGAGATCAGGAAAGAAAGAGACTGAGACAAACCATTCTTATTCCTATACTTGGTAAATAAACAATATTTTCATAAGCTTCTCATATTCCAATTTGTTGGATAATCATTGTTCATATTTCAGTCACTTTCCTATGCACAGGGGGCTTGGGTGTCCAGATGATAACCTTGGCAGCCAAACAGAAGTGCTCCAAAGTAGACAGCGTGGCCAGAGAGCTTCATAGGCTGGAAGGACTCCAGCCTAGGAATAGATCCAGCCCTGCTCAGAGGTTTTCTCCTCATGACATAAGGGTATCTTAGTGGCAGCTGCTGGCTGATGATTTTCTATCACACAGGTTGTCATTTTCTCTCTTCAGAAGCAACATTTCATTTCTCTTGAGAAGGAGGAATTTCTTCTACTAAGGCGGAGCTTGACTAAGGTGACCTACTTCTGTCTCTCCTAGGCAGGCAAGTGAAAAGCAGTTTTACAAGGTTCTTCATCAGGGGTCTCTCTTTCTTCCACAGAGATTGAGACAGTGAAATTGGCCCGTTCTGTCTTCAGCAAACTACACGAGATTTGCTGCAGCTGGGTGAAAGACTTCCCTCTCCGCAGGAGACCCCAGCTTTATTATGAGACCTCAATCCATGCCATCAAAAACATGCGCAGAAAAATGGAGGACAAACATGTCTGCATTCCTGACTTTAATATGCTCTTCAACCTCGAGGTAAAAGTCGCTTCCGATGTGTCAGTGAAATTGGAAAAATAAAACCCCATCACAGACCTGTGTTCTAATAAGAGAAGTTGTAATAAACTGTAATAATATCCCTGATGGCTTCGAATAGGGCTAAGGGCAAAGTGGCACAGATTTGCTTCTTCCATTAGACAAAAGGAAAAGAACTATTTATTTCATGTTTTTTGAGTAGGTAATGCATCACATGGTTTAGAATTGGAAAATAAAAATCCCAGTCTTTTTTTTTGTTGTTGTTGTTGTTTTTTTTTAAGTTTAACATGAAGCCACTCAGTCATGTCTGGCTCTTTGCGACCCCATGGACTGTAACCTACCAGGCTCACCCATCCATGGGAAAAAATCCCAGTCTTATCTTTGTCTCTCAGACACTTTAGATCCCTTCTGCGGAGGCAAAGTTACCAGCCCTTGTGTAACCTTCCAAAGACATTCTATAAACATACAAACCAAAAAGAAAACTGTTATATCTCAATAAAGCTGTTTTTTAAAGGAAACTATTTCTATAGTATAATCAAACATTGTCTATTGAGTTCCCACAGTACTATTTTGCTGAAGCAACACAAAACACAAACATAAAAGAATGAGTTTGAAACTAAGATATAGTTTTCTGATTTCATATGACTTTATTTTTAAAATCTTGGTTTCTGAGATAGGAAAGTAGCCAGAATTACTTTCCCTGAATCTCTGTGACTGACAAATTGGATCATATGAGCCTTGTCAACTTAATAACCATTTTCTTGTTATCGTCCTCTTCTTTCTCTATTATGTTAATGCAAACAGAGGTAGGTTTGTTTCCTGTGCCTGTCACTTGCCTCTTCACTCAAGTCCATAACTTTAAAATTACAATGTAGTGATTTATACAAAGCAGACTATTTCCTTCATTTAGCAGCTAAAGTTAAATTTTAGCTGACTGTCAAGCAGTGATGGTGGGCTGGTGACTGGTGCTTATTTTACAGGATAGATCAGCTGATACCATGCCCATGCAAACATAACCCCTAAAGGCTATAATGTGGTAAATAGTCCTTAAGTCACTGCACCCTTGAAGAATGTGCTCAGGTTCGAGGGCATCATTACTCTTTGTTAATCTGGTTGGTTTTCATTTTGCCTCAAAAATCAACCCATAGGCCAAACTCAGAAAGGAGCTCTTGGCTATAATGAAACAGACTTTGAGGGCAATTGGGCAACATGTATTTTGAACTGTATAAATTTTCACACACTTTGATAATTTCAGTTTTGATTTTATATTATAAGGAAGCAGAAAATACATATTTTGTTTGACATAAATGTTTTACACAACATTATCAATAATAAAAAATTGGAAATGATCTAAACCTTATATAGGAAATGATAGCTATGATATGCTTGTAAGATGTATAGTACATATCCATTTAAAATAATGTCTTTGAGTAATACTTAATGACATGGGGGAAATGCTAATGATATGGTAAGTGACAAAAAGCAAGATAAAAAAAGTTATGTACAGTATGATTCTAATTTTATTAAAAAATTTATATGTATAGAAAAAAGACTGGTTATCTGTGGATGGTTGTATTAGAGATATTTATTTCCTTCTATACACTTAAAGTGCCTGATGCTGGGAAAGATTGAGGGCAGAAGGAGAAGAGGGCATCAGAGGATGAGATGGCTGGATGGCATCACCAATGCAGTGGACATGACCCTGGGCAATGGACATAACCTTGGGCAAACTTTGGGAGATGTTGAGGGTCAGGGAGGCCTGGCGTGCTGCAGTCCGTGGGGTCACAAAGAGTCAGACGTGACTGGGTGGCTGAACCACAGCATACACTTCCTTATTAGTCCAAATAAACATACATTATCTAATTGAAATATAGTGGGTTTACAGTGTTGTGTTGGTTTCCAGCATACAGCAAGGCGATTCATTTATATTTATATATAAATACCCTGAAGAATATATCTATATATAAAATTATTTTTCAGATTTTTTTCATTGTGGTTTATTATAGAATATTGAATATAGTTCCCTGTGCTACATAGTAGGACTTTGTTGTTCATCAGTTTTATATATTACAGTTTATATTTGCTAATCCCAAACTCCTAATTTATTCTTCTCCTACACCTTTGGTAACCATAAATTTGTTTTCTATGTTTGTGAGAATGTTTTCTCTTTTGTAAATAAGTTCATTTGTGTCACATTTTAGATTCTACATATAAGTGATACCATATGGTATTCGTCTTTCTCTTTTTGACTTACTTGTCTTAGTATGATAATCTCTAGGTCCATCATTGTTGCTGCAAACTATGTTATTTCACTCTTTTTTATGGCTGAGTAGTATTCCACCACACACGTTCCACTCCCCTGCCACATCTTCTTTACCTATCCATTTGTCAGTGGACATTGAGGTTTCTTCCATAGACCCATTATCTTTAGAACAGGGAAGATACCAGTATTTTTTTTTTAAAGAGATCCAGTCGGCTCCTTTGTTTCTTCTGATGTTATATTGTTTAAGAATCTCTTCACCAGTCTCACGTTGTTTGAAGTATATTCTCATGCCCACATGAGACTATTATTGCTCCCTTCTTTGTGATGATCCCATGTCAATCAGCTCACTCATTTAAAAACTGCTTACATATGCTCTTTTAAGTTTTACCCTTACCCTGACAATTGAATTGTTTAAAAATGAGTTCATTTTAAAAAATTACTGCTACTGGGGACTTTCCTGCTGGTCCAGTGGCTAAGACACCTCGCTTTGAAAGCAGGGGGCTTGGGTTTGGGAACTGGAGCCCACGTGCTACAATTAGGAGTCCAAATCCCTCAACTAAAGATCCTGCATGCTGCAGTGAAGATCAGAGATCCTGTGTGCCGCAGCTAATACCTGGGGTAGCCAACTAGATAAATATTTTTTTAAGATTTACTGTTTGAATCTGATGTTGCATTAGTCTTTTCAGTTATCTTCTACCTCCTGTATTTTCTACTGTAATAATGTAATTTAAGGCCTTCCACAATGAACAGTTCACTTTATTCCCTTGGTTTTCTATATAAACAGTTTACAAGATATGATTTGGTTAAAAATAATTTGTTATATAAAAATTCTGTTTGCAAATTAAACTGTAAAAGTAAAAAAAAAAGATTTACTGTTATTTTTTAAATAAAAATGTTTGTTGAGATATATTGATTTATAGTATTAGTTTTAGGTATACAACATAGTGATTTGAAATTTTTATAGATTAAAGCTAATTTAAAGTTATTGTAAAATATTGGCTGTATTCCGTGTGTTGCATACTATATCCTTGTAGTCTGTTTACCTTATACACAGCTGTTTGTTTCTCTTAATCCCCTGCGCTTACCTTGCTTCTCCCCACTTCCCTCTCCCCATTGGCAGCCACTAGTTTGTTCTCTGTATCTGTGAACCTGCTTTCATTTTGTAATACTCATTTGTTTTATCTTTTAGATTCCACATATAAGTGATAACGTATAGTACAGTGTTTGTCTCTCTCTGTCTAACTTATTTTACTAAGCATAGTACCCTCCAAGTCTATCCATGTTGTTGTAGTTGGCAACATTTTATTCTTTTATATGGCCGAGTACTAGTCCATTGTGTGTGTGTATACATACATACCATATCTATTTATCCATTTTTTAAAAAGCAAAATAGAATAGATTTATAATATTATATTAGTTTCAAGTGTACAGCATAGTGATTCAGTGTTTGCACAGATGATATTCCATTAGAAGTTACTACAAGATAATAGCTATAATTCCCTGTGTTATCCAATATATGCTTGTTGCTTGTTTTGTTTTATACATAGTAGTTTATGTCTCTCTCCCCGTATCCCTATCTCATCCCTCCCCACTGGTTACCACTAATTTGTTCTCTGTATCTGTGAGTCTGTTTCTGTTTTGTTATATACATTTGTTTGGTTTATTTTTTAGATTCCACATATAACTGATTACATAAAGTATTTGCCTCTGCATTTCACTAAGCATAATATTTTCTAGGTCCATCCACATTGCTGCAAATGGCAGAATTTCATTCTTTTTTATGGCTGAGTAATATTCCATTGTGTGTGTGTGTGAGTGTGTGTACAGATTTTCTTTATTCACTTACCTATTGGTGAACACTTGCAATGTTTTTATATCTTGCTTTACTTGGTATATTTTATTTACTTTGAATGACAGGGTCTGGACTCAGCTAAACTCTCCAAGAGCCCAAAGAAGTCAAAACTTCCAAATGAAAATCCTTACATAGTGTTGCCTAAAAGAATCGCAGGGCTCAGTGAGAGTTCAGTGAGTTACAGATCTCCTCTAAGTGAGCCAGAGCTGAGATTTAAACACTGGAGTTGAAGAGAAAGAAAAAGCAGGGTCTTACTGAATTAAATGCAATGCCGTGATTAGGCGTCCTGTGTCACGGTAAATCACAGGTTTGGAAGACCCTCCTCTTGGAGTTGCCCTCCAGCTTCAGGCGCTGAGTGGGCGAGGAGATGTGGAGCAGCATCTTGAGTTAGGGGACAAGGTTATAACAGGGTTATAACCCTGCAGGGCATGTAGACATCTGATGGGGTTCAAGTTTGTGTAGCCTGTTTAGAGACTGTTATTTATGGTGAGAATACAATGCGATCATGAATGATTTATGAAGCTAATATTATAGTTTCGAAGTATGCTTTCATTATCTGTGTATTTTAAATAATCAAACATAATTGGCCTTGTGCTTGGAAGGCCAATTATTTCCTATTGTCCTGAGTTTCTAATTTATTATTAAAATATTTTCCTTTTGACAAAAATCTTCAATCCAGAACAGCCTTTGCTCAACTCCTCCTCCTCCCTTCTCTTTCCTCCCCCTCCCCACAACTTGTAACAGCAACTTCACAGCAAATGGATGTGGGTGGTTGCCATGGTACAAGACAACAGCTTCCACAGCGAGAGAGGGTACTTCAGCCTGAGCTAATTGGGCATGATGTGTTCCAGTGTTCTGGTGTGTAAACACAGATGCCCTCACACTGCTGGTATTTTAGCCGAGGATCAGGCATGTCAGAAAAGGGAAACATTCAGTCTCATCACCTGGGTGACAGGGCAGTGGAGGAGGGTGGGCAGCGGTGCGGGAGACTGCCTCATCTGGGGCCTGCCACACCTAACTCCCTGCCCTGGCTCTGTGCTTCCACTGACAGGACCAGGAAGAACAAGCTTACTTTGCAGTGTTTGATGGCCACGGCGGGGTGGATGCTGCCATCTACGCCTCCATTCACCTGCACGTGAACCTGGTGCGCCAGGAGATGTTCCCCCACGACCCTGCCGAGGCCCTGTGCCGCGCCTTCCGCGTCACCGACGAGCGCTTCGTCCAGAAGGCTGCCAGGGAGGTATGTGGCTTTCCCGCGGATTCCAGCCTTGGCACTCCAGCTGAGTTCCCTTGTTCTGCAGCTGAAGGGCTATTTTGGATTTTCTCTTTTGTGATAGACATTATTTAAAGCTATCTTCCAAACTACGTTCTTGACACACGGTATTGGATTCCATTGTAGGCCTAATTCCCTCTTTAGGAATAGATTTAGTGGGGTGCTATGATGTACTATAGAGAATCTCCAAGCTATAATTTTCTAAAGAGCCAGTCAGTTGCTGGATTTGGCAGGTGAGTTTTATCTTACTCACCATTGCCTGTCAGGTTCACACCAGGATCAGCTCTCTAAGCAGACTTTTGCTGACAAAGTCTGGATATGGTGATTAAAACAATGGTCTAAAACAGAAACAGCAGCTGGGGTTTCTCCATGCATTTAGTTCTGAATGGGTTGGCAGTGTTCGCTGTGTGTCTCTTGAGGAAAACTTTTGCCTGGAGAGAGTGAATCCTTAGATGCTCCTTGAACTGGTTTTCTCTTAACAGGAAGAAAAGTCAGAGCTCACGTCCCAATTTCTTAAGGTTAATCAGACCTAAGGTTTTACTCTGAATGAATGACAGGGGCTATATTAAGATCTAAAAGTAAAGATTTTAATCTAATTATCATTCTGGGCATTGGTACATAATTAACTACAGGACTTTATACTCATTTCCAACTAGGGACCAACAGAAAGAGAATATTTTTTTTAATTTTAAAAAGTAATTGCAGAATTATATACACACAGAAAGATAAGACCCCTGCCCTGTGACTTAAGCATTAACTCTTTTTGAAATGGGCTTGGACAGAACAGGGTAATCCTTTAATCCATTTCTTTGATCTCATTGTTATGCTATAGGGCAGTCATGGGGCTTGGCATTAACTAAGCAGTGATTCAGCTCTACTTGGTGTTAAGCACGGGCAGTATTCTGTCTCCCCACCTGCACCCCGGGTTTAGTTAGAATAATACACAGACCCAACACAGTAACCACTGGGCTGTGCAGATAGAGGTGGGCTAGAACAACAGAGTTGTTGCCCTCAGACTTGGCCAGCCTCTGGGGGGAGACCAGCAGGCTTGGAGCGGCCGGCTGTCCTCACCATGACTGAGGACGTGACCTGCCCGTGCGAGCTGGCTGCCATCGTCGACCTTGTCGCCTTCACCCTCTGTTGTAGCCCTTTCCTTCTGTGTCCTCAGAGTCACGGCTTTCTTCCTGACCGCGCTCACCTCATTTGCTTTGCCAACAGTTCTCTTGAATAATTTGGGTTCGTCTCAGCAGTTCCTTCCCTCCCCCTCGTGCTTCCATGTGCTGCTAACTGCTGGGGAGAAAGCAGCCGCTATTCCCGTTGCGCAGCGGCCCTGCCTCCTGTTCCCTCCGGGGCATATGCACTCAAGTGTCTTTATCATGTGTTCCAGGGGCTGAGGTGTTGAACATTCTGTGTGGGAAGACATTTTATTGGTGGGTGAGGATTTGTAACAAACTTTCCCTATATAGGGAAAATGAGAAGTTGTTTTCTCCTTGGATGCAAGGGGCCTGCTACCACCCTAGATGCACTGGTTCTAATTTAGGCCAAGTCCTTAGGAACAAAAAGTCATGCTTATTTGATGGTGACTCATGTCAAATGGAGGGCTTCCCTGGTGGTTCAGACAGTAAAGAATCTGCCTGCAATGCAGGAGACAAGGGTTGGATCCCTGGGGCAGGAAGGTCCCTTGGAGAAAGGATTGGCTCCCCACGCCAGTATTCTTGCCTGGAGAATTCCATGGCCAGAGGAGCCCAGTGGGCTACGGTCAGTCCAGGGGTCACAGAGTCAGACAAGACTGAGGGACTATAACTTTCACTTTTTTTTTCATGTGAAATGTCATTTTAGGATAGTAGTATCAAGAGCATTAAGTACAGTGATACTGAGCTCTGAAATTCCAGGCTGATGTTAGTTTTTCATGCAATGTTCCAAAAGCAAAGGTCCCTAAAATTATGGTAGATTTTGGTTTTGTTTTTTAAAGGTAGAAGCATCTTAGCACTCCAGGGAATGTGTGTTCTCTCTTGGCTCCTATTTTAATATCCAGAGTATGGAAGCATTTGCTGTGTACCAACCAGATGCTTTGTATGCTATTTTGTAAAGCTAGGACCCTCCCCCTGAACATACAGTAGGTCAGTAACAAGACAGAGACCAGAATATGGAGATCGTTACTCTAAGGGTTGATACCGTGGTTTAGCACTGGACTGGGAGGGAAAAATTTAGTTCAGTACTGACCTGTACCTGCCCTCAGGCAAGTCACATAACCTGCCATAGTCTTCTTCCCTGTGTATGAAATGGAATAGAGGACTCCCCTGGTGGTCCAGTGGTTAAGACTGTACACCCCCAACACAAGGGGCACAGTTTCCATCCCCGGTCAGGAAAGATACTGCACGCTGCATGGCATGGTCAAAAAATAAATAAAGTGAATTGATAACTGTCTCTGCCTTACATATCACAGATAAAATCTACATGTGTGTGTGCACATATAAATACATCAAGCATGTAAAATGCACTGAGAAACAGGAATTGCTATTTTATTTGTCAAGTTATTGGTAGTTTTGCTTCCATCTGAAAAGTCTGTGTTATCTCTAAATTGCTTCTCAGTGAGAATTTGGCGTCTGCTGATTTTCACTGACTTGTTTTGTTTATATGACTTTCAGAGCTTAAGATGTGGGACTACAGGAGTGGTGACTTTTATCAGAGGCAACATGTTACACGTGGCCTGGGTGGGTGACTCCCAGGTTATGCTTGTGAGGAAGGGCCAAGCTGTTGAACTGATGAAGCCACACAAGCCGGACAGAGAGGTGAGTATGCTCTGTTCTGTTAGGGCACACACCACAGGCAGTTTCCTAGTTATTACTTCTCAGTTGTGATTGTCACCATTATCTCAGCAAGCCCACCTTTCAGAGGAAGAGTAAGAGAGCCCGTCCCGGGGAGCCGATGAGTATCATGTCTGTTGTGTGCTGTTAAGATGGCTGAATAAATCCTGAGTCCAATTATCTGCTTCTTTCTGTTGCATTGCTATGCAGGATGAAAAGCAGCGGATTGAGGCCCTTGGAGGCTGTGTAGTCTGGTTTGGTGCCTGGAGGGTGAATGGAAGTCTGTCTGTCTCCAGAGCTATTGGTAGGAAAAACCAATTAATTATTTTTTCTCCAAACTGTCCTCTTCCAGAACACTGTTCTTAATATTAATTAATCTGATACAACAAGGGAACCTGAGATAATAACTTAAATTTTCAGAGTGCTTGTTATTGTCGAATGCCTCTTTTAATTAATTGTTTAACCTACACATTTATATAAATTCCATTTTTAAAAGGGAACTATATTAAGAGATGGAGAACTTACTAGTTTCTTTTTTTTTTTAAGGGAAGCCTTTAATCTCTGGAATACAAATCTGCTTAAAACCCAGTGATCCTCATTTTCCATTCCATTTTGGGTCAAATTTAGCTTAAATCAGTATTTTCCAGAAAATGGAAGTGCCTATATTTTATCTTGCTTATATCTTTCATTTTTTCATTGAATTCTAAAATGACACAAACAATGTGCTTTTTGGGTGAAAATAATTTTTACTATATTAAAATGAGAAAACTAATTCTACTCTGTGTGGAGTGTAGTTGTTAGATTACCCTGGGGTTTCAGAGAATCTTCTTCCCTGGAACCCAAATTCTTTAAAAGAAGGGTAAAGTCGATGAAACTCTTTGTTGAAGATTTAGAGAGTAAAGAGCTCAGTTGATTGGACAAAATGCAAGGGTGTGGTTCAGAGAACTGGGCTCTAGTCCTGTTTCTGCCTCACTTTTGCACCTGGGTCTGTTTCGTTGGGTTTCATGGCTTAGCCTCACTTTTTTTATTCTTTTTCTTTTTTAAAGAACAGATCAGTGTGTGTGTCTCTATGGGTAATATGCGTGTATACACATAGGCTATAGTTCTCAGTCACTGCCTCCTAAAGAAATGAAGTGATTTGACATAGGATAACATGGATAAACAGAGTTGATGTCTGATACCCAGATTTTGCCTGTCATTACCAAAAAATTCCAGAACATTAATAAAATCTCAAAGGACTGATTCCGTTTCACCACTGATGTGATTTCCCTCCCACTCTTCGGGAAGGTGCTGGCAAGCTGTGAAGTGGCCCAAATGTGAGCAGCAGAAGGCTGAGGGAGAAAGAGGAAGCTCAAAGGTTCTGCAAATACCTCTTGAAAAATTGAGAGTTGGCTTCACCTTAAACCAAGGGAGTTATTAGGAAATCTGGAATAAGGCCGAAAGGGGGAAATTTCTGATTTCTGAAACACAGCCTCATATAGAATTGTTTTTGACAACTCCAAAGACCTTTTCTCTTAATCTTACTGTCTTTGCAGAGCATTGTGAGGTAACTTTAATGCTTGTTATAGAAGCAACTTTACTAGAGAATCCTTGTCATTTCTTCTAAAAATATGACACAAGGGGAAAAAGCAATGTCCTTGAATAAGTGAGAGTCTAAGAGGAAACAGGGCTGACTTCAGAGAGGAAGTGACTTCTGAGGTGGACCTGAGGACAGAACCTAGAGAAGGACACCCCGGAGCGAGGCGTGCAAACACATGGATGTCTCAGAGGGCACGTCCTGTTTCAGGAACAGTGACAGGTGCAGGAGGCTGGGGCGGAGGGTGCGGGTGGGAAGAGGCAAGTGTCAGCACCAGAGTGTGAAGGGGCTTGAATGCCAGGCTTGGTGTCTGGACTTTGCTGGGTGAATAAGCTGAGGGCCCATGTGGTCAGGTTTGTAATTATAAATATTTGTAATGATTATGGAAGATGAACTAGAGTGAAAAACCTCAGAGATGTGCACAGCTGAAAAAAAAGGAATACAGAAGAGGGTACAATTTGATGAGACAGAAATGACAGTTTTTGGGGGGAAAGAGGAAAGGTAACTTCTAGGTTTCTGACTTGTGTCACTAAGATGATAAAACGTTTGTAATAAAGCAGCAGCAGTTTGGGTGGGGAGGGCAGATAATGAGTTCATTTTGGACATATTTGTATTCTAGGTGCCTGTGGGACATCTTGGAAGGTAATTTATATGCAGCTGGAAATACAGATCTGGAGCTTAGCAGGGTTGTAAGTTGGAAATAGAGATTTGGGAAATCATCCCATTTTGGAAATAATATTAGCAACCTGTGAAGTGATTTTATGTGTGTGTGTGTGTGTGTGTGTGTGTGTGCAGTAGTTGAAACCACAGGAATGGCTGACACTGCCCAGGAATATGTAGTGTGAAGAGAGACCAAGGAGGAGACTCAGTCCTCACGGTAGAAGAGCATGAGTCACGCTCTCTGGGTTTGTGTCTTGGTTCTGCCTCTGCACCAGCTGTGGGCCTGGGTGACTTTACTGAACTTCTCTATGTCTGTTTGTGCCTTTGTAAAGCAGGAACAGTAACAGTGCCTAACTCATTGTTTGTGTATTAGATGGTATAAGACACACACACATGGGTTTGTGTCTTGGTTCTGCCTCTGCACCAGCCGTGGGCCTGGGTGACTTTACTGAACTTCTCTATGTCTGTTTGTGCCTTTGTAAAGCAGGAACAGTAACAGTGCCTAACTCATTGTTTGTGTATTAGATGGTATAAGACACACACACACTTAGAACCCTGCCTGGCACAGTTTTAGCATACAGTGAGTTGGGGTGCTATTATTTTTTTGGGGGGGTGCTATTAAGTGAAGGAGCCAGTAAAGAAAATCAGGAAGAGACACAGACGCAGGGTATCAGATGCTGGGGAAGGGGGTTTTTCTAGGAGTGTGTAGTCAACAGGGTCAAATGCTGCAAAGGTCAAGTGAGTTAAAAAAGTCACAGGATTCTGAAAACAAGATGGTTGTGGATATAGGTAAATTGCTAGAGATTGTTTTTTAAGTCAGGAGGAGTCGTCGAGGGAATTCAGGCCTGGTAAACTTAATTTTCTTTGAAGTAGGAAATTAGGCCATCTACCAAAATCCAATAACTTACTTGGAAAGAGTTGAAGAATGTAAGAGAGATTTGGAAAGCTCATGGAATAAATCAGGGGGATAAATAAAGACAAGAAAAAGGACTCCTAAGCAGAGTTCAACTCTACTCAGAAAATAAACGACACTAATACTTTATAAATAAAAGGCATTTCAACTGTTTCTCCCCATTAGCCCTTTGGATTGATGATCCAGAGTTGACAAGAGCCATGATATGTTTTCCAGCACATGGAGAGAGGCGGTAGAAGACAAAAGCCATGGTGCCATTTCTACCATGACATGGATAATCACGCCCTTCTACCAAATTTGGGGGCAAAATGTCATGAATTTGACATCTCACAGTAGAGCAGGTGAAAAGCCAGAATTCTGGCAGCATTTTCTCTTGTGAAAATCTTTGTATGTTCTGTTCCAAACTAACAGTTGCAGTAGCCTTTTAATTGAAGCAGTAAAACAAGATTTTTGGGAACAGTATGACTCAGATCACATTTATTTTTAGAGCTAGAATTCAGAAAATAATGATGATAATAATACAGTCAGGTGGAGTAGGGGATGGGGGCATTTAGTAAAGTGGGTTGGTGGAGGACACTGAATCCCCATGATTGGAAGCTTTAATTAGCTTTAACAGGTTACTAGAAGACTGTATACCTGAATGGTTTAGTGGTTTTCCCTACTTTCTTCAATTTAAGTCTGAATTTGGCAATACGAAGTTCATGATCTGAGCCACAGTCAACTCCTGGTCATGTTTTTGCTAACTGTATAAAGATCCTCCATCTTTGGCTGCAAAGAATATAATCAGTCTGATTTTGGTGTTGACCATCTGGTGATGTCCACGTGTAGAGTCTTCTCTTGTGTTGTTGGAAGAGGGTATTCACTATGACCAGTGTGTTCTCTTGGCAAAACTCTATTAGCCTTTGCCCTGCTTCATTCCATACTCCAAGGCCAAACTTGCCTTACTCCAGGTGTTTCTTGACTTCCTACTTTTGCATTCCAGTCCCCTATAATAAAAAGAACACGTTTTTTGGGTGTTAGTTCTAAAAGGTCCTGTAGGTCTTCAAAGAACCGTTCAACTTCAGCTTCTTCAGCATTACTGGTTGGGGCATAGGCTTGGATTACCGTGATATTGAATGGTTTGCCTTTGAAACAAACAGAGATCATTCTATCGTTTTTGAGATTTCATCCAAGGACTGCATTTTGGACTCTCTTGTTGACCATGATGGCTACTCCATTTCTTCTAAGGGATTCCTGCCCACAGTAGTAGATATAATGGTCATCTGAGTTAAATTCACCCATTCCAGTCCATTTTAGTTCGCTGATTCCTA